TGTCCCTGTATCGATACATTATTAGCAAACAAAATATCACGATACTACACGGTATCGATTTTTTCCCCCACCCCTAACTCTAAGGGTTTCTCCTCCACTTCCTGCCACCCCCAACCCACTGCCCTTGCTGAGCCTGGCTCTGTTGTAGATAGAACTTCCTTCTAACAGGTTCTTCCTCTCCACTGTGCTGTTAGACCACGTGCTGCTCAGATGTGAGTCATCTGATCGTCTAGGTTTCCTCTTCTGTATTCCAGACTTTACGTTGCAGAATAAAAGCATGTAAATAAAGTTTAACTGAATTATTTGTGGAGAGGAGTCACCTGAAACATCTGTGATCACCTGAAACACCTGACCATTACCAATACTGTGACGTGTTCCTGAGATCACTATCCAGAAACAGTCTGACTGATCAGCAATGTGATTACATCCTGCTGACACGTGAGCTGTGCCCCACCTTGAGCAGAACGAAGAACTCAAAGACCCTCCTGAAGGACGGAGGGAATAGGCGTGCGTAGGTGACGGCCATCTTGAAGAAGAGCGCATGGAAGAGGCGGTCGCGGACGTTGATGAGGGGGTTCTGGTTCAGGTTGGGATTGCGGAGGCGGTTGGGTCCCATGTTGTTGTTGTTGTTAAGCGGGACATTGTTGTTGTTCGCCTGGTTCTCCGACATGGCTGCGATTGCCCGTTGTTTCTGCTCGTGCTCAGAACTCACCACCGCCAATGACAACTCTAGGTCAACATGGCTGCTACTGCGTCCTCAGAGCGAAGGTCAAGACCTGAGTGCCGCACCTGGAACACACAGATGAACTCACTGATGACTGCAGTCAGGGGGCAGAGCCTCAACCACCTCTGAAAACAGATCATTAAGAGATTTAGGTTCTCAGCTCAGAGCTGCAAACAATCAGTCACCTTTATTCCGATCAATAACTTTACACTAAACACGAGTATTGATTAACATGGCTTGTTTAGATAACGTCATCTCAGTCATCACCAACAACTGATCCAACCTTTCATCCAATCAGATGACATGAGATCAATAACCTGCAGGTAATTTTTTTTTTTTTTTTTTTTTTTTTTTTTAAATCAGATCAGAGAAACCGAGACACTGATGATCTAATCTCTGTGCTTTAGGAGCTGAACCTGCTTGACACCAAAAGCCATCAGAGGTGTCAGCCTCTAACCAATCACAGTTAGTGTTGAGTGCACTGTCAGCAGAGTGGCTGATTTTAGTACAGAGAAAGACTGAGCTGAAGAACTGAACCCCCACCTCCCCACGGCAGTACTTTATTTTTTTCTCAGCACTGCAGAGTCTGTACCGAGCAAGGCTAGCAAAGAGAACTGATACCAAAAACTATCGATTCCTTTCCTCTGCATCAATAACAGCGGCGTTAGCCTCACCTTCTCGAGCTGACACAGCTCCTCCCATCACTAGCAGCAGGTGGACAGTAGTAAACCTGGAGAAGCACCTCAGAGACTGTCAGTCCATCTTTAGGAGGAATTTCATGAATTCAGAGAAGCTCCTATTTTATTAAACATTTACCTGCCTGCGACACGTTAGTGTTAGGATTAGCTCTTCCCCCATCCTAACTGTTATCATTAAGCTAGCAGATGACATTAAAGTGGGAGTGAGGCAGGAAACAGACAGGCTCAATTTAATGACCGCTAGGGATAAGAATTGTAAAGGTTCTTGTAAAAGGACCAGTTCCCAGTTGTCCAATTTCTTAGAATTCCAGGACCTATTGATTCCGCTTAAGGATTCTTGTACTCACACTACGATCAGCTGATTTCAGTTCTTGTGTCAGTGGAAAATAGCAGCTTCGCAGCAGTCGTAATTGTAATTATGAGACATTGTGTTTCAGGTCATTTTAAGGAGTAACGTGAAAGTAACGTAACGAGCAGTGTTGGGCAAGTTACTGTGAAAAAGTAATTATAGTTACTTCTTCAAAAAACTGAGTTCGTAACTGAGTTACAAGATTCTAAAAGTAATTAATTACTTGAAAAGTAACTATTGCGTTACTTAAAATAAAAAAAATAAAAAAATGTTTAACCTTCTGGAGTCCCGGGTACAAGTGGCCATTTTTGACTACTTTTGATGTTTTCCCCTACATTTCACCTTTAAAAACTATTTACTTTGCCTTGTTTGGTATCATTCTTTTCAGCACAACCTCACGTGTCTGAATTTACAGTTATGTTTTCATTTTGACATACTGTATTAACACAATTGAACACCGCGTATATATTGTTTATCATCACTCTGGTTTTACGTGGCCTATCAGCACAATTTAAAAACTGGTATATATCACCTTGTTGCTTTGTCATCTTAAAGTGGTCATGTGATTGGCTTACCACGACTACTTTATTCTTCCTCAGCCAAACAGCAGCACTCATGCGATTGTTTTGCCCCCTTAGCTCCAGGTGTTGTACCAAAAAGTGATCGTCGGGCAGATAGTTATTGCCGCCTGCGGGAGCGCGCACAGCTGCTTAAAGCTGTAGCACCCAGATTACTTACAGCTACTTCCGTGCAACTGATATAAGGTGCGGTAAGATGAAGACAGCTTCAACCGTCTGTTTGTTGAAAAATAGTAACGCAACCGCACCGCATTTTCTTGTTAGTAACGGTAACGGCGTTGTAACGATAGTAATAGTAATTAGTTAGATTACTCGTTACTGAAAAAAGTAACGCCGTTACTTGTAACGCCTTTATTCCCATCACTGGTAATGAGTAATGTAATGAATGACCTTCTCCAGAGAGTAATTAAGTCACACATTACATAGCTTTTAAGGAAAGTATTCTGTGTAATATGAGTAATAGATTACTTTTCTTGAGTAATGACTCCAGCACTGATCATAACAAAGAGAGGATCATGGACAGTCAACATGGACAAACATGTGACCCAGTGTGCAGTTAATGTGCATGACTAATGTCTTTGATATGGTGGAGACTCTCAAAGCACAGCCAATAAGGAATCAAATCAATAAGTGATATCAATAATGGAATCAGAATTGCTAAATTCTTATAAATGTTCATCCCTAGTAACAGCAATAGTAAATAGTGAATCAGCCCATCCTAAAAACACAAGCAGTGAAATGACAGTGACAGATAAGAAACAGGAAGTAGCAGAACTGCACCTGAGTGTGCACGTCAGGATCGCTTCTTCATTTCATCTTCTCCCCTCCCAGCATCCAAAAGCCGAGCTTCACATTGAGTCTGACCAGTATTTCTTACTACCGTGATTTCACGGGTAAAGGGGGCTGTTTTTAGAGGTTTAGATGTTTTCTGAGGGAACACTTTTAAATTCCTTCATGAAGGAAACTCCTGGAGCTCAGACTGATGATGATGATGGATAAGCTGTGGCAGCAGGTCAGGAGGTCTGCAAAAACCACAGACTGAGATCATCAGGATCTTCTGCATCCTCCAGCTGCAGCCTGACAATCTCCAGGTGAGACACCACAGACCAGCTTATCCCCCCCACCGGTACATGTAAATACTGATGACCTCAGGAAGAAAATCTGAGACACGTGGTCCATCAGCATCGGATCAGCTGACTCATGTCTCCATTAATCTCACCTGTGAGCCACACACCTGAGGCCGCTCTCAATGACAGGTGTGAGAGGCTGTTCTTAGTGCGGGAACCTCAGCAGCCGCCCCCTCCTGGACATCAGAGAGCATGCAGCTCTACATCTTTATTTACAGTCTGTGAGGTCTCAGGTGAAACAGGAAGTGGCGTTTAGTGACTTTTTGCCATGAAAACAGCAGGATTGGGACCATAGGGCCACCATAACAAGACTCTGAGGGTCTCAGGCTGTGACATGATTGTTCGCCAGGTGACCAGCTCAGGATTCCAGGGGACTCCTCGACATTGAAGAACATGCAGCTACCTGTGAGAGTGGGAGGAGACTCTGAGCTCAGTCTGATCCTCACTAACTTCTTGTCTGAATAAAGTTTAACGAAAATAAATAAAGCTTCTCACTGCTCCACTTGCTGCACCTCAGGACAGGTGATGTGATCAGCTGATCGTCAGCCCGGAAATGTGGTGTGTGTGTGTGTGTGTATTCTGATCAGCTGATCCTGATTGGCAGGCTCAGGTGTGTGGTGGCTGCTTCAAGCAGATGTCCCCCGCCCCGCCACCCCCCGTGTGTAATCCATAGACACCCTCACCAGCGGCAGGTGACGCTGACTCACCTGTGCTCGGCCTCCTCGTTGTTTCTCTCGCTTACCCACGAACGCCACAGTTAGCCGTTAGCAGCGCTAGCAGCAGGGTTAGCTCTGCGGCTAAAGGCGGAGTCCGGAGGCAGCCGGATCGGACAGAACCGGGAGCCGTCTCGGTCCCAGCAGACAGGTGAAAGGACGGAGGGTCCGGGTACACGGAACCGGAGCACGAGGTGAGCTCAGAACCCGGAAACTGTGGCTAAACGGCGGCTAACACAAGCTAACAGAGGATAAGAGTCTGACTACTGTCAGCGCGTCACTGAGACCGGAAATACACGTCCTAATACCGGAAGTAGTGAACCCCGGCTGCAAGTTCTTATATCCCTGCGCGCTGCCTGGCAGGCGCCTCGTGCTGGTCGGAAGCTTCTGCACGTTTATTAACGGTGAACAGCTGATATGTCACTGGTTACAGAGTCCAAAAACTGGGATTGAGCTGATGGAGAAGCCTCGGATGAGAAGGTGGGGGAAGAATCACAGAAGTAAGTTAAATGATGTGAGGCTGTGATCAGCTGACCTGCTGTTCTCTGTGGATCTGAGACGTCACACTGAACAGCTGTTCTGCATCAGCCAATCACTGTAGACTAACCAGCACTGAGCTGCCTGTACGGCGTGTTCTTCATATAACAGATCTAATGTCTGATTAAGACCTCTGAACAGCACATGGGAGCTTCTCGTCCTCTCAGAGACCCTGAGTATGTGTAAATACAGCAGCTGGACTCTCAGACCTGATGTGTGGCAAACTGCACAGACACAGCTTGTGTTGCTCATATTTGCTGAGCTGACTAATTACCTCACACTTAAACATTACACAGCTTCAGCTCCTGTCACACGTTTCTATATGTGAATGTTTCACTGGGACGAGACGAAGACGTGACAAAGCTGATGTCACACATCATCATTACTTAACAGGTGTCTCCATTGCTGTCACTGGAAGCTAACTGATCGACTGGTTCACACATATTACAATCTAATGAGATTTAACCGTTCATTAACTGAAGGTGTTGGGTTGTTCCCACCCACTTTGACAAGGTGAACTCTGCCCATCAGGATGGAGGTCGCTCCATCAAGCAGAACAATAAAACATCGTCATACTTCATACTTTAGCTGATTGAGCAGGTGGGGGAACCCTAGGATCTGTGTGGGGAAAATACTCCGCTCACAATCATTTCTATTGACAGCTCCAACAGATTTTCTTAATGTTTGAATTGCTTTACATTTATTGATTTAAAAGGGACAGTGTGTATTAATGAACATATATCAATGCAAATATACCAGATTTATCCAAAGCTACTTTTCATCTGTAGTCCCTGACAGGTCAGACAAAAACTACAAATAAGAAATTTAGCACACCTTCAGACAAAGTACAACAAAGTAGCGCTAACAACAAATCCGTAAAGTTATGACCGGCTGCTCTTTGTGGATTTACACACCTGAATTCAACCAGATGTGAGCAGATGTTTTGCAGCTGTCTCGTCTGATTTCTACATTAACAGTATACTGAATGCCGTCTTTATACCAGACAGTATAAAGTTGGTATAACAATTGAATTCAGTGAACGAATCTAAACATCATCATCCTAAATGTAAATTAATTTCTGCTGCTGAACACTGACCACCACAGCAAAGTGCCTTTACTGTGAATTCACCACAGTACTGCAAAGTAACCTGTTTATCCTACACAAAACTCCCCAGAATTGTCAGACAATATTTAAATAACACAAAATTAGTATACTTAGTTTGTTTTGCAGGAAGTTTCACTAAATGAAAATACATAATTTATAAAAACACATCAAAAACAATATGTGATTAAACATGAGGACTTGCATGTAAGCTTTATATGAGCAGTCCTTTTCTTTAAATCTAACCTCTCTTTCTCCTCTCCTCTGTCTTCTTTTTTTTTTTTATCTTTCTCCATCTCTGAGTGAAGTTAGCTTTCTTTTCTCTCCCTGTGAGATACAGAAGCTGGACCTTTAACTAGCAACATAGCTCAGAGTTTGAAAGCATGGATCTATCCATTAGTGCCCAGGCTGCTGCTGGTGATGGTGTGAGGGCCACACTCCATATTCTCGAACCAGTCTGTTAAACATGATGATGAGTTAGCCGCACTGCCATAGTCACCAAACTCAGTCCAATAGAGCACTTTCGGGATGTGATGAAGTGGAAATTCCCATCATAGGTGTAACAGCTGTGTGATGATGATGTCATGTCAACATGGACCAAAATCTGTGAGGAACATTTCCAGCAGCTTCTTGAATCTGAGCCACGAAAAGTTAAAGCAGCTCTGAAGGGGGAAAAAAAGAGTCCAACCTGGTACTAGCGAGGTGTACTGATGCCTGGTCTCTCTTGGAAATGAGATTTTTAATCTCAATGAGATTTTTTACCTGGATAAATAAGGGACTAATAATACTTAATAATGTGGCCAGTGATTCATCAATTTTTCCTGAAATAGACTGAAGATGTGAAATCCTCAAACCTGAGATACTCATTACTCTTGTCATCTTTCATCATCATCCTCAGACATCAGAAACAGGCTGGGTGTTTAACTGTCAGAACGAAAACGAAAACTCATTTTTTTTAACTTTATTCTAGGTCAGAAACTCTGAGGTTTCACATCAAAGTTCATTCAAATGTAAATTTTATTTTTCACATACACAATCATACACAGTACGACATGAAGTGAAATCCTTATTGCTGTGCAATTCTCGACCAAATAGAAAAACAAAACTAAAGAAATTAAAATTGAAAAGGTGTGCAAATCAGCAGTGTGCAGATTTACAGTGAACAGTCAAAAATACAGTAATTGAGGTATGTTATTGAAGTGAATTATATTAATTCAGATGAAGCTTCACAATCAGGTGAGATTACCAGGAGGCAAATAGACACAGAAACTGAAAGCTTCAGTCTCCAGATTCATCACAGTCAGTCCTGATCAGCAAACCTATCTAGTTATGCTGCTGTAGACTCTCATCCTCTCTCTGTACCTTTCTGCAGCTGGGCCTCATGGTTTCTGACTCCACCCCTTGTCCTTTACAGAGAGGGTGTCTGCTGTGAGCTGACAGTGTGTAAATGAAGTTTAATTGAATGACATCACAGCATGTGCTCTTATCAGACTCAACTCATAGTGACTCACTGATCACTGATCGATTCCTCCCTGGACGGAAGCTGTGTTTCCACTGTCAGACTGAAGGGGGCGCCATCTGTCAGCAGAAAACCTGATCAGGACACACACACAAACACACACACACACACACATTTTCCCAGTCTCTGTTGCCTTGGTAACACCCTGGCTGCTGGATGGCCTCCAGGAAATGAAGAGTGAGACGAGATGAGTGGGAGGGAGGTGTGTGTGTGTGCGTGTGTGTGTTCATCCTGGTTTGATTCTAGTCGGAGTTTTTGAACTGAGGTCCTGCAGAGACAAAATTTGTGATGAACGTCTGTATCCAGCAGGGGCGCCTAAGCCATCCACAGAGAGGTGAGGAAGTGCAAGCAGGGTTGAGCAGGTGGAGATTAGTGTCAGGGTGATTCATGATGGAAGGATAGCAGCAAGACTGAAAGGGAAGGTTTAAAGATGGCGGTGAGACCTGATGTGATGAACAGGATCAGAAATGAGTCCATCAGACAGGCGGCTCAGAGTCAGAAAGACTGAGAGAGGCATGCATGTGCAGAGGAAGGAGGGTGGAGGATGAAGATGGAGCTTCAGGGAGGGAGAGAAGAGGAAGAGTTCAGATGTTCATGGATGCAGTGAAGGACATGGAGAGGGTCAGTGTGACAGGAGGAGATGGAGGCATGAGCGACTATCGGGACTGCTAAAGGAGGGAGTGATGTGTGTGTTTGTGTGTTACATCTTATCTCAACATCACTGTTGCCATGGAAACTGCATAATGTGCTGAAGGTGCAGGACATTAGGCAGCTTGTTTGTATGTGTGATTGGTTCTGCTATTGATCCTTGAAACTCTGTGAGACAGATGAGGTCACCTGACTCACCTGAGCGGGGACCTCGGTGTCTCCAGCCTGCTCAATCCTCATGAAGCTGTTGGTAAGTGGAGGACTGACACCACCTGTAATTCTCCTGTAACCCTCAGGCCCCTCCCTGGGCAACTTAACCACCATCTGCACCCTAACCTGTGTGATCTTAATGTCTCGTATGATGATCAATCAATCAATCAATCTTTATTTATAAAGCACTTTTCATACAAAAATGTAGCACAAAGTGCTTTACATGATTAAAAGCAGCCCACCCCACCCCGCCCTCCAACTCACTCCCCACACTCTGATTAACATAAACGATCATGGATACATACTCCCCCACCCCCACCCCCCACACAAACACACACACACTTAAAGAGTAAAATTGGGCTGGGCACACATGAGACAGGTGAGGAAACACTATGATGTGGGGCAATGCCGGTATTCACCGACACAAATGTAATTGCATGCAATTCTCTAAAAACCAACAGCTTTTGGATTTTAAGAAAATTCCAGGTTTTCCAGGCCGGCCATGACACTGCACTGTGGTGACAGGAAACAGCTGCCACATACAAAGCTGTACCTGCTGGAGGCTGAACACCCGCGACTCCCCATCAGCAATCTGCCTCAGAAGAGCTGAAACATGTTTAAAAGCCCAGCTGCTTTAGCTCAGCACTTTAACTAATGATCATTAAGATCGACGTATTCTCTCTAACGCCTAACCTCTGAGATCAGTTTCAGCTTTTTTGTTTGAGTATAGAAGGTTTTCACCTACGTCACGTTCTGGGCGGTAACCCGCATGCGTGGCCATGTTGGAGGCACTCGGAGGTAAACACTGAAATGGATCAATGCCCGAAACCACAGAAAAGCTCCTCAAAATGCGTTATAGATGCAAAGGCATACAGGGAAGGACTTGGTCCGCAGGAAAGGGCACAAGGTTAAGGTTTATTGGTGGTGGTGCAGATCCATACGAGTTGGCTCCTTTGTCTTGGATCAATGACGACCCGAGTCTTCTGTCTATTGCGTATCCTAATATCGTCAACTACCTTTTTTCTCACCGAGCCTATACACAGGGGAAGACTTTAAATCTTATAAAAGTTTGGAGGCCTATAACCAGATGGTGTGTGGATGGGTGAGGGAGATGCAGTATCAAGTCATCAGCGACAGATGGCAGTGCTCTGGCCTGTAAATGCCTTGCTGGTCTCTTAGCACTAATTGGTCAGTTTAAGGAAACGCCCCATGGGACCAAAACCTCCAGGAAGCTCAAATGATGGAGAGACTGAGAGAGGATGAAAGAGGAAATTAACAAGTTGACAAAGACTCTGAGGGATGTCTTAATCACATCATCTGTGGAAAAGTTAGTGCAACACACAAACGGCTTCTTCATCCTCTGCATACCAGGAAACAACCGGGATTAACAATTATTACTGAGAGCCACGAAGGCATCATTGGAAGAAAAGAGGAAGACACTGTGATGATGAACGAGCTTTAATTGGAACCACAGAGCATGCACCTGAAACAGCTTCTTCAGCTCTTTTTATAGCAGCACTTTATACACTCATATGATGCTTCATGGTTTTACATTCAGATGAGAGCGCGCCGATTTAGAAACATCACATGCAACAACACACGGACACGGGAACAGCAGGACGGACCGCCTCGTATTTACAGACCAATTGTTTCAGGATGTTATTCTTCTGAGCTCCTATCGTCCTCAAACCAACATTTACATGATGGAACGAATCAGCATGCGTGATGTCATCAAGCAGCACACAGCTCTTTGATTACACCCCCAAAGCAGAGGGGTGTTTCCTATAGAAGGCTTTTCAGTCAGAAGACATTAGCGTGCAAGCCACTGTCTGGGCCTGCCTGAAACTCGGGAAGTGATAAACACAGGTGTAGTGCTGCCAGAGGATCACTCCATCACTTTTTTCCAAATGCAAAATAAAATATTCACTGTTAGCTTAATTAGGAGAAATTTAGTCATGGCTTTAAGTGGATCTGAGTGATCGTAGCTCAATTGGTCTGCACAAAAACAAAATCAAGAAAAAGCAGCAATCACAAGCATGATGTCACAAGCATGTGTCCATCGAGTGGACTGATGTCGTCACGGAATAATCCAGTGTAAGCTCAGGTTTTACCGTGAGCTCAGATCAGTGAGAGGAGGCTGGAGGAGGATCAATGTTTGTGACATTAGATTTGTGACACAGTGCAAGCTCCATCGAGTGGACTGAGACTCAGGTGGAAACAGCTGACATTACATGAACAGACCAGGGACATCCCCGAGTTCACAAAGGTGCTGTTACTGTGACATGAGCATAAATATGGGCTCTGTTGTTTCTGCTGGCAGTTATTAAAGTTGATGTTACATATGTTAGGATTCAGACATTAATCTCATCAACACGGTCAGAGCTGCATTTTCACAGACATGTGTGCGGTGTGTATGGCCCTGGGAGAGAAAAAAGCTCTTTCTCTGTGTGCACACTGCTGAGAAAAGTCACGCAGACACGTTTTAATTACAAACTAATTGTCATGCAGAGCAATGCATAACTGCAGTGTTTGCAGTGGAATCTTGAGTTTAATAAATACTCAGCATCACAGGCCATAAAGCCAACATTTATGGACGTAACATGGTTACTATGTAACTCAGGCCGGATCTCACTGTGAATCATGTTCACGGTTTAGGTCAGCAGTTCTGCTCTCCTCTGGATCAATCCTGCCTCCATCTAAGCTGCAGATGTATTTATAACCCTGACTTTACTAAGAAAAATTTCTGAGTGAGAGAAGACACATCAGGGAGGATAGAGCTGCGAGCAGCATGGAAGAAGTGATGAAGACTTCATGTTCAGTTAGCCTCCGTGCTCAAACAGCGATAGAAGCAGAAAACGTGTGGGTGCACAGCGGTTAAACAGCACTACACCTGTGGTGATGAACCAGCTAAATGATGAGATAAACTTTAAAATGTGAGAGAAAAAACAACCACACCCCTCTGTGGTGACGTGGTTGTATGACATCCAATATATCAGACAAGTCTTGAGCAATGTGCACATGATATCACACAAGAATCCTGAATAAAACCAAAAGGTTTTTTTTTTTAAACCAAATGTATTGCCCTCTGATGGCGATAAAAGCAGAATGCAACTTTAAAGAGGATATGAAACGTTACACATATAAAGCATAATTTACACCACTGAGCCCTGCTCTCAAAAACTGACAGATATAACTCTGTCTATGAAGCAGGATTTAAGAAATAAATGCTTAAAGTTAAAAGTTGTTTAGAGCCATCTTCTGTCAGGGATGTCATGTGGTTGTCATTTGTGTTGCCCCTGGCTGCAACAATGAGTTTATGTTAAACTGAGGATATACTGTCCACTTTCACCATCTGTCTCTTTAGCAGTAAGCGGCTCTTTGCTGTTTGGCTAGCTGCACTCAAATTGGAAAATCCAGCCATTAGTCATAATATTCGGGTTTGTGTGGAGGAGAGCCTGTTTGAGCCAGGTGACAGGTGTTTACTTGACCTACACGAACTGATTTTTTGTCCTCTGACCAAGTGTACCAAGCAGCAGAATCAGCTGATGCGATCAGCGTTGATTTATGCAACAAAATAATTTCTGTTCCCAAAAACATCCAGACAGTTTACAACATAACAGCCCACTACATGCACAACAAAGCACAAATGTAACAATTTTTTTTTACTGAAGCACAACTGGGAATACCATCAGCACGTCTGCATCGAAAACAGGTGGATGTGAAAAAAACCCAAGAAAGTGAAGCCTCTGAGGAAGAGATGCCACACTTTTTGGTGACCCTTTGTTTCTTCCTCACATCATCTCACTGACTGGATTATTTCATATTAGAAGTGAGGAAAAGCGAAGCCCAAATACACTACCAGTTAAACATTTGGACACACCTTCTTATTTAATGCGTTTTCTTTATTTTTATTACTGTTGACACTGTGAGAATCTACAGTGTCAACAGACAGTGGTGGTCATAAAAGCAGAATGCAACTTTAAAGAGGACATGAAACATTACACATATAAAGCATAATTTACACCACTGAGGCATCAAAACTATGAATAAACACATGGAATTATGTAGTAAACAAAAAAGCGTGAAATAACTCAAAAAATGTTTTATATTTTAGATTCTTCATAATAGCCCGCCTTTGCTTTGATTACTGCTTTGCACACTCTTGCCATTCTCTCGATGATCTTCATGAGGTAGTCACCTGAAATGGTTTTCCAACAGTCTTGAAGGAGTTCCCAGAGATGCTGAGCACTTGTTGGTTCTTTTGCCTTTACTCTGCGGTCCATCTCATCCCAAACCATCTCCATTGGGTTTAGGTCAGGTGACTGTGGTGTCTGTGCGGGATTTATCAGGGCTCTAATCTGAGGTGCTGTTAACTTGCGATTTCTGAGCCTGGTGACTCGGGTGAATTTATCCTCAGCAGCAGAGATGACTCCTTTGTCTTCCTTTCCTGGGGCGGTCCTCATGTGAGCCAGTTTCATCATAGTGCTTGGTGTTTTTTACAACTGCTCTTGGGGACACTCAAAGTTTTAGCAATTTTCCGGACTGACTAACCTTCAGTTCTTAAAGTAATGATGGACTGTTTCTCTTAGCTGATTGGTTCTTGCCATAATATGAATTCTAACAGTTGTCAAAGAGGGCTGTCAGCTGTATACCAACCTGACTTCTACACAACACAACTGATGGTCCCAAACCCATTAAGAAGGGTGAGACACAAATGAACCCTGACAAGGCACACCTGTGAAGTAAAAACCATTTCAGGTGTCACATCATGAAGCTCATTGAGAGAAGGCCAAGGGTTTGCAGCACTGTCAACAAAGTAAAGGGCGGCTTCTTTGGAGAATCTAAAATATAAAACATTTAAAGTTATTTATCAATTTTGTTTTTGCTACATAATACCATATAGCTTGCTTCATATATTTGATGTCTTCAGTATCTACAATGTAGCCAGCTGACTGCATGGCTTGGTACACCCAACCCGATGAGGAAAAGCTGGATTGTGAGACTCCAGCTTGTCACTCTGGTGGCTCAAACAGGCTCTCCTCCAAACAGGTCTCATTTCTAAAGTGCTTTACGAACCCGAATATTATAGCTAATGGATTTTCCCATTTGAGTGCAGCTAGCCAAACAAGTTTCAACAATCAGTTTAACATAAACTCATTGTAACACAACAATTAGTTTTTAGTTTTAGTTTCCTTATTTTCCTCTGAGTTATCAGTTCTGTCCTAACCTAAACTAATGTCTATTACCTGAAACCAACCAACCACATGATGTCATGTTCCGCACTGACAGAAGATGGTGCTAAACATATTTTTGAAACGTTATATTTCATCACTTATTTCTTAAATCCAACTTTACAGACAGAGTCACATCTATGTCAGTTTTTGAGAGGAGGTCTCCATGATGGGAATTAGGCTATATATGTGGAACGCGTCATGTTCTCTTTAAGGTATTTCTTGATTCGTCCATGTCTGCTACAGACAGTGGATTTTAACAGCAAAAAAATGATCACGATGACCCTAATCCTGTCCTGTCAGAATATGTAATATTTTAAAAAATGTTCTCCTAAATCTCAGCAATCAGGGAACAACAAAAGTCTTTCTACCTCATATAAACTGAAAAGTCTTTTTAGAGATTAACCATCTGCTACAGATTGAATCATTTCATCTGTGGACGAGGCTTAAAACAAATGGTTAGGGGGTTGGGGTCATAACAGATGATGACCTCACAGAGTTAAACCAACCTGAATCACAAGGTGACCCTAAGCTGGATAAGAAGCTAACAAGATGAATGTTTGGATGGCAGAATATGCAGGTTTATCCAAGAAAATAGAAACTTCGATCTGGTATTAACTTTACGGTTATATATGTCAGTTTAGCTGGTCAAAACACCACAAGTTGTCCATAATGTTGCTCTGAATCACTATCGTTGGGCTAAAAAACGTTTTAGCAACGCTACGTTAATTATCATTGGTGTTTCAGATGTTTCATAGAGATGTTGATCTCTGTGGACAATCAGGACATGCATAATCAATCAAATAGGTAATCTTGTTTAACTGAAACATAAACTTTCTGTAGACAGAAATAAATAACTTTACTGTGAAGCCATGGCTTTAACACCATTTTCCATTCCGATTCTTTGAAGAAACATTTGATTAATATTCACGCACGTAAACCTTCGGCCGTCTTTCGCACTTATAAAGCTCTGAAATAAAATCACCTAGTTTCTTTTTGAACCTAAACGTCTGTGACGAGATTTAATCTCATGTCGGTCCATTAGTAATAAGTACTATCATTCACACACAAAAACAAAACGCTCACAACCTCCACCAATCAGACAGCAGCACACACAAACAAACAAACAAACATGCTGAGAATCACTATAGCAACCAAACCATCACACCAGAGAGGCAAGAAATATACAATCTGAGTTCGACTGCCAACATCGCCGCCATCACAGAATCCATAACTGGAGGGGTTGGGTTCTGCTGCTGGGTTCTTATTTGTCGCAGGGTTATGGTTTGTCGCAGGGCTACGGTTTGTTGGAAGGTTAGGGTTTGTTGGAGAGTTCTTGTTTATTGGAAGATTTTTGTTTGTCGGAGGGTTCTTGTTTGTCGCAGGGTTAGGGTTTGTTGCAGGGTTCTTGTTTGATGGAGGGTTAGGGTTTGTCAGCGGGTTCAGGTTTATCAAAGGGTTCTTGTTAGTCACAGGGTTCTTTGTTTGTCGCAAGTTTGTTGGAGGGTTCTTGTTTGTCATAGGGTTCTTGTTTGTTGCAGGGATCTTGTTTGCTGCAGGGCTAGGGTTTGTTCGGGTGTTTCAAAAATTTACTGTTTGAGTTTGTCTCTGTGCTTTGACTTTGAGCTGTTTATTGAATGAGTTCCTTTCTTCTTAGAGGCTCAACACAGTGGACAGCATCTCTTCGGCACAGATGGAGGTGTTCCTTTCTGGATCACAGAACAATTGGGACAGTCTGTGTCAGTCTAAAGAAGTTTGTGATTGGATTCCTTCAGGATTAATACTGTCCTTTAGCCACAGCCTGAATCCTTTCTAAAGTTAAAGTCACTGAACAGGAAACTGAATGGGTGGAAGAGCAGAGGTACCTCAGCACCATCACTGACCAAAAACAGTGAGATCATCTGATAAATGTGAACAACACCTCTGTCTCTGTTTATAACCACTGAATCCATCCTTCTTGGGATGATTTCTTTGGATAGCAACTTATCTCAAGAATAATAATAATAATAATAATAATAATAATAATAATAATAATAATATGGTCCTCTGTGGTGGGTTCACTTGGAAAAATAAATAGTTGCAATAGCATTGATGTCCTCCTAGACTCTCTGAGAGGTAAGATGTCTTTTTGTGGAGAGAAACTGTCCAAGTGTTGAGCTCCTAAACCTTGAGCTCATCATCTCCTGGGTGGAAACCTCTTCTCACAGCTTGTTGCTTGCATAGCATCACGCTCCTTGTTGCCAACCAGGTTTTGTGCTGTTAGTGACCAGTTTCAGAGTAAGGCTTTTATTTTGAAAGGTAACAGACTAATCTTTGAACCTCCGTCCCTGCAGACTCTTATAATAGTTCTCCTGCTCAGTCTGGTTACGGATCTCTCGATCCAACAGAACCAGTGCTGTCTTGCGCCTCATGGCCATCTCCCTGCGCTGAGCATCTGATGACATCTCTACCTGCTGGTGAGGTGGGCTTGAGGATAAGGTAGGGTCGACAGTGGCGCATGGTGAGGCAGAGCGGCGTGGGTGGAAGCTGCTGCTGCTGCGGCTGGCCGAATCTCCTCGATTCAGGTTAGAGAGGTTGTAGGTTTCTCGTGGGTCTCCCCCATTGGATGCCCCCACCCACTCCCATGGGTTACCATTACCTGATGGGGGCTGGGCCTGGGGAGGAAGCGGGACTTGGACAACAGGATAGTGGGCATGGGCATCCACTGTGATGATACCTGGCCCCTCCCGTGGTTGCTCAAAGGGGTGGCGGTAGTGTGGCGAGTCGGCAGCGGAGGAGATGGCAGAGCAGGTGGATGTGGTTTCGGAGGACTTCTCCCCAGAGGACGAGGACGGCAGGAGGCCCTGCTGCTTGGACATGGCAATGACTTGCATGAGTCGTGGCTGGTTGGCAGCACCACGCCCGGACCCCTCCCCGGTTGTCTTCTCCCGAATGGCGAGCCACTTGGCTCGGGTTAGGGCGCTTTTTGGAGAAACCGGTGGAGGTCCTGCTTCTGGGATCTGTGGGGGTCTGGGTGTTGCCACAGCTTTGGCCCCCCCTGGAGGTGGAGTGGGGTTGCGACTTGCGTTTGCCCTCCCGGCATGCACTGCAGGCTGGTAGATCGGGGCTTGAGAACCACCATCGTCAGTCCCCACAGAGCCTACCTCAGAGCCGTCCTCACTGGTTTCGTGCTCTGCCTCGTCCCGGACACCCATACCTCGCATCTCCATCGACTTCTGCTTCCACTCCGACACCAGCTGCTGTGACCGCATAGGGTCCATGGGCACCTGAACAGCCTTCAGACGGCGCTGCACTGGCTGCACTGGCTGGACCGGCTGCACCGGCTCCTCAGAGGCATCGTTGGCCCCCAGTACACCATTTACATTCATGCTAGCTCTTGGCAGCGTGTTGCTGAAGGTCACCATGGTCTCCTTTCCCATGGGGCTTCGGGGAGCCAGCAGCTCTACATCCACACTGGCCCTCTTCAGGCTTCCCATGGAGCCCTTCTCCCTCTGCAGGGGCCCCAGGCCATCCAGCCGGTCCATGGGAGCCGGAGCTGCCGCTATCTCATCGTTACTCTCTGAGGCAGACGCAGGGCCTTTGTTATAGACCGACTCGTGTCCCCGCTCAGTCAGTGCTCGGAGAGGGTCCGCCTTTAGGGGTGGAGGAGGTGGGGGTGGAGTGATGTCATCAGATGATTTGAAGTTGGCGACAGCGTGAAGGGCCTGATGGAGGAAAATAAAATCTTGTGAGTCTTTGGAGAGTCACAAACCTCAAAAATACTCTGAAACCTGATCTAATTGTCAGATCAAACCTCAGAGACCAGCACCAAGATCTGTTACATTATTACCTCCAACCTCTTCAAAAACAATCAAATCTCCCAGTTTCAACAACTGAGTCGGTGTCTTTGGATGATATTCTATTAAATCAGGCTTTGAATTATTTGAAAGTCTTAGCTGTGTTTTTCAGGCTGAATGATTAAAGCTGCCTCAGTGACCTTCTGTCTGTATTTTAGGTGCTGTTCAGATGTTTCTTTGTGCTGGCAGGTTTAATATTCCCTCATATTCAGTTGGATATTCAGCCCATCATCTCTTTGTGAAGCTCCTGGGCTGAAGCTTATTGGGTAAATCAAGATTTGAGTCATTTGGAGCTGCAGAGCTGTTGGTTTTTGATCTACCATCAGCCTCCGGTTTAAGCTGATGCAGTCGCCATGACAACACCAACACAAAGCCATGTCCATGACAACAGCTGCAGACTCTGGAGCTCCATCAGACAGAAACACACACAAGATGTGTCCTTTATCTCACCAGGTAGGCGGCAATGAAGGCTCCGATGAGGAAGCCCACATAGACGTCGATGGGGTGGCTACGATGCTGTGTGATCTGAGTCAGGCCAGTCAGCGCCGCAGCAATGGCAAATGCAAACACCAGCACGGGTTTGAGCAGCTTGGTGCTGTCTGAGATGGTCGAATTAAAGTACATCTGACAGGAAACAAAAGCTAACATCAGAGAATGCCACGATACAGCAAATTCAACACATCTTTATCAAGACAAACAAAACTGAGCAGTACATGCAGACCTGACACAATTTCCTAAAGACATTTTTTAAAATGTGAACATTGTTTATTCTTATTTATTTTTGTGTAAAATGAATTTATTCTGGGATGGAAAATTTAACTTTAATCCGAGTCTAAAATCGGCTTTTAATTTACATGCGTTAAAAGCAGCGTGGCTGATCCAGCGTTTCTGGGCTGAACCTGAACTCTGACCACTGGACCTAAAAATCACACGAGCTTGTTTCTGTGGGAAGGTTTTCTTTGTCGCACTTACAGAAACATAAACAGCAGCAAACGCTGACAGAGTTGCATGCTGGGAAGGAAACGTCTTTCTGTAACAAGAAGAAGAAAAAAAAACATGCCTCAATGATCAGTCCGAAAACTTCAAACAGCGACACAAACAGGAAGTACAGCAAGCACCTCGCAGCCATGATGGCGTGCTCATCCTGCCCAGAGCAGATGTCTGTGGTGATGTAGGCATTCTTGTCACACGACACACCCGCCAGAGTATAGTTAGGTTTGCAGACAGTGAGGAAGAATGGTGCGTGGTACCCCGTGGACAGCTGGATGATGTCAGTGAGCAGCGCGGTCGCACACAGGCCAAACACGTGCACACCTGCAGGAACACTTTTGACATGTAAGACTGATGGCAGGTCACAAGGTACAGACAGGTGGATGTTCAGCAGGTTCTGCAGACACAGTCATACCTACGAAACGGACCGTCCTCCTCAGGAAGGAGTTGAAACTGCAGCCGCCGGCATTGATGCTTCCCTCAGCTCGGCGGAGTTTCAGACGGGACTGCAGGCAGTAGATTGCTCCTTCCACCAGCATAATCTGGGGCACAAAACAAATCCACCTCAGCAGCTTGAAGCAGGACAGGCTGACCCCACCCACTTTCTACAACCATCAAACATGAAATACTAGTTTATGCACAGGTGGAGATGTACAGGTGAGGAAAGCAAAGACACCAAAGACTTCCAAACGTCTGAAGTATTTTCATTGTTCGTGAGGTCAGAATGGAGAGCCAGGGTACCCCATCAACCATCCAACCACACACCCACCCATCCACTAGCAACTAATCACTTACCAACATACAAACACCTATTAAACCACTCAACAGTCATTGACCAACCACCAATCACCTATCCAACCAAACAACCAACCATCCACCAATCACTCATCCATCGACCAACCCTTCATTCAGCCGCTCTAAAACGAAACCACCCACCCATCAATCACATATACCAAGCATCACCTCCAGTCATCTTCTTAGCCTCCAATCCGACTAGGCAAGTGCGTCATCACTAAAAACATATTCCTACATAATCAATAAATTCTAATAAATTATGGTACCGAAGCAGCGGGTCCAGCGAAGGCGAGGCTTAGAAGCATCAACAGTGGGATCAGCTCATCTCCTCCATCCACGTACGGCATACTCAAATCTCTGTCGTGGCACCGGAAACCCACTTGAGCCGGCTTCACCACATCGGTCAGCTCCAGGAAGTACAGCGACACCATAGAAGAAGCCACAATGGGCAGCTGCATGCAGAAAAACAGATAAACATCTGTTAGTGGGATCATCTGATCCTTGTCGACACGGCAGGAAGTGCTGCCAAAATGTAGCTCTGAGTTTACAGGTAGTGTAAACAGGAAGCAGAATCCTTTCATCGCTCTAGCCTCTGTAAGATAAGCTGACCTCTGTTAGTGAGTGTTCACCCAGTGTGATCGCAAGTTTAAAAAAAAACAAACAAACCCACTGACATCATGAGTTTATGGGCTCAGTCATGATTTCCAGATGACTGAGCCCATAAACTCATGATGTCAGTGGGTTTGTTTGTTTTTTTACAGAGGTCCCAGCAGACACTGTCTCCCCATACACCTCCACAGGACCTGAGGTCAGCTGTTGCCCCCTGGTGGTCAGTAAAAAGAGTACAAGTGTAAGAGACCTCAGATTTTACGATTCAGGCCCAGAAGCTACATCTATTTTTAGACTGTCTGAGGATCTGAAGCATCAGCGTGTGGTCCATGGGCTCTTCAGATGGTCACTGAGGATTTTCATCAAATACTCGAATTATATTGAAAATTATGTTAATTTGTTCAGGGTTTTTTTTGATCCTCTAAATGGAAAATAATTTAATAATAATAATGGATTGCATTTATATAGCTCTTTTCGGGGCCCTCAAAGCGCTTTCCAAACGGTTCATGCAGAACTTTTATTAAATGAGTTGAATTAAAGCGGAAAGTCTGAAATTCACATGCTGTTTGATTTGAAAAATAGTGCGGTGGACCTGACTGTAGGTACGGTCCTCGGTGTCATGTGACCATTTGTTTGTTTGTTGCTCTCACCTCTACGAAGTAGAAACATGGCAGCAGAGTCAGACTGTCCTTTGGAGGTTTCTTCTTCATCTTCTCTGAGGGGGAGGATGTCATCATCATCATCATCATCCTCATCAACCTATACACGGACGCGCGCACACACACACAGATAGAAGCATTATTTCCTGATTATGAAAAAACAAACATTTGAGGCTGAACTTGTCCAATCACAACAGAGCTGCAGGAGGGGCGGTTCCACAGACAGTAAAAACATGGGGCACTTTATGTCAGAGGTATTGATGCAGCCAGCGGGCCCCTAAGTCTTAACTGGAGAGAGCCCGCTGAACCTCGACCTTCGGATCCAGACAATCTCGCACATTCCTTCTTCTTATGGTT